GGAAATGTGAGCGTCGAGAAGCGCCTGGTAAAGCAGTGGCTTGAAAAAGACAGAGCAGCACCGGCACCAACACCACAGCAACAGAATTTGGGGAAAAAAGTAGCTCACTACCACTACAGTAAAATGACTGGGACGCATAGACATGCCTGGAAAATGACAACGTATCCGGAAACATATTGAAAGGAAGAAAAATGAAAGTTCTCGAAAGCAAGCAAGCGGGGTGAAATTTGAGGCCCGCGGTCTCCACCACCATTGGTAGCCTCAGGTCCCTCAATGTTCCGGGGGATTTGACCAGGAATGCACCCAGCACGTGGTTGCTGTCGTTACAACAACATTTCGATAATATCATCGGGTAGTATGCTAAGAACTGTACCCATTAAAACATTCAATTATAATCAGACACCTTTCTTTGCTGGCCAGAATCATTTCTGGACTAAGCGGGTGAGATATGCCTAACTCATTTAATGCAGGCAGATGGGGGCCTCGAGATGAGTAGATGAGGTTGTAGCGGATGTGTTGGCACAACACGGCACGATATTCTGCGTTCAACTCATGCAGCATGCATGCACCGGACCCAACGAAATTCAAGTAGAAAATACATTGAGTGAGGTTCTTGGCATTCGCTTCGCATTGAATCCATTGATCGTTTTCAAACGAATCTTGCGTGTACAGTGGCAAATGCAGAGCCCCAGACCTGTTTACTTCTCAGGGGACGGTATCTGCAATGTGCCGTTGTGGTGCAAAAGAAAGAAGGAGCGAGTAGCAAGGGAACGAAGATGGAGGCTAAACACCCTTCGCCTTGCCCAGTTGCCCTTCGGTTCCTTGACTGAAAAAAGCGAACAAACCGAAGCTCTTGGCTGTGCTACTTTGCGTTTGCTATCACGGAGCGCACACGCACGTCGTCGACTGGCCGATTGTCTATGTGCTGCCTGCAACAGAAAGTAAATCTGAAAATGCTGCGCCCAGTGACTGGAACAATGCATAATAAAAAGTACACATTATTTATAAGTTATATAAATGCTCCCAGCTCGGCAAAATACGAAAAACTAAACAGTACTATGAAGCATATTACATCGGACATTATTTAACAATGGCAAATGATGCCCAGCAATTTCGTAAAAGCCCGTTTTTTTGGGCTGAGAGAAACCTCACCGTGCACAGATCCTGAAGCTGAACGTCAATCTACGGTGCGTTGCCACAAGACGTGGAAGAGTACGGCCAATGCTGTGAAAACACGGCGACAAAAGGGAACGAAAGCAAGAAAACTACCAGCAAAAAAAAAAAATACAATGCTTCCGGGTGAGCCTTACCGGATCGTCATCTTGAATTGCTTGGAAACAACTGGCGCACACCATTCGACCAAATGATCGCATATAGCTCCGATCGCGGATTTGCCCTCGCGAAGTGCTAACACGATCGCCAACAGGAGATGTCCACTGATCAATCAAGCCAACACTTACATATGAACTGAGCGACTGCTGAAGTTTCCGGCCGGTCTCATTCAGCGCAGCTGGTCTTCCACTTTCACTGCAATAGTGTCAAAATAATAAACAGCTGCTCAGTAGCACAAATTCTAATGGAACTGAAGTACTGCCGTCTTTTTGCTTCTCATCTCACTGACCACTGAGATTCAAAAACAAATTAGAATATCAAAATTCCGCCATTCCAAAAATCAGCGGTAAAAAGAGCGTAAAAGTTCGGCATCCAGGTCAGGCAACGACAGATCTAAAAATTCTTGTTATTGCTAAAAAAAAGATATAAGATATATTGGAAAGAACACGTATATATGTATACTTTTTTCCCTTCTTTTATGCTTGTGCATTATTTTCTCTTTTAAATATTGCTATGGGTTAAATCCAGGGGATTGACTGTACGCTACGGTCGATCATCATCTCTTCTAAGATGGAAATTTAGCATTCGCAAAAAAAAACCAACTTACTCGTTTACTTCACAGACCACTCCAGCAAACTGTTTACCATTACGGGTACATTGGACCACCAGAACACCGGGGGCTTCATGGAGCAAATGCACATCAGTCACTGGCGGAGACTCGGATTCTCCCGTCGCCAAAACACTAACTAGAAAATGTGATAAAAATTATCTCTGCTATTTACAGTACCTTTAAGGCAGCAGCTGCTAACAAAATACCACAGTTCAACACCGATAGTTTCAGCACGCAACCCACGTCTATTCAAATACTAAACGCTAAAAAGTGCACTGCGAAAGGGAAATGATAATGATTTGAACGCTATCATCAAGCGATTTCGAACAAAAATCGCCATATCGCGTTCGCTCTCTCTCCTACTGCAGCTTCGGCATCAGTAAACCAAACTGCAGCATTGTTTCTCCTCGTACAAAATGGCTACTACGGCAGAGAGTGGACTGATCTGCTCTGTAGGCGAAATGAAACACTACACACGCAGCAGAGAATATGAAAGAGGAAAGCAAAC